TAGATAGATAGATAGATAGATAGATAGATAGATAGATAGATAGATAGTAGCGGGATGAAGGAAAAGAGTAGTTCCCTGACCGGGAATCGAACCCGGGCCGCGGCGGTGAGAGCGCCGAATCCTAACCACTAGACCACCAGGGAGAGCTGAGGGAGATCACTCACGCAATAGACACAATAATGCAACACCTCCACGAGGTGGCGAACGTATCCAAACTATTTACGCTCACTTCCATTGTCTGTTGGTGTACGAGCTCAGAAGCAGCTCCAATTGACGTCTCGTACGAGCAAACATCTGGGCATAAGGGGTTAAACGGAATAGTTAGCAGGTATTACGTCCGAAGTTCAAGTTTGTCTTCAGTCTTTGTGGGCTCGCGTGCTCACCGCCTCGACTGGTTGTTCAAGAAAAAACCGGGACGCTTCGAAACCCAGGAAGAGCATACCCAGGTACGTGGTGCGTTTAAGTTATATGCAACTAAATACTGTTCGTTTTTATTCCCTGTGTATCCCCTCCTGTCGTGTAGACTCACCATGTCGGCCAAAGACTCAATGAGGCGCCACAAAACTGCACTTCAGGTTACTCTATCTGCGGACCGCAGGCTCATCCTGGACAAGGTTTACGCGAGAAAATTGATAACTCCTCGCGAGTACAACAATCTTAAAAGCATCAACAAGGAGAACGACGAGGGACACGTTATAGAGCTCGTGGATAAGCTGATGAACAAAGGAGAAGGGGCCTGCCGGACCTTCCTGGATCTCCTGCAAACCGATGAGGACGTAAGGTCAACCTTCCCAGACCTGCAAAGCATACAGCTGAATGATGGTTTACCACAGCCGGTCCAAGCCTCTTCGCCATTCAGTGGTAGTTTAACACACGAAACCACATAAAAACATTTCGTTTTTAAATGTCATTGTGCCACGTTTGAATTTTGGTTTCACTTTCTCATAGGTGGTCTGTATGAGGACAACAAAAGGCCTAGGATGGTGAGTACTGAGTACTGAGAGAGCCCGTTTAGGCGTCATTTCTTTTCATTTGTACATGTTTTATTGGCTTCAGCTCATGGCTAAAGCCTTCCCTCACAGTCGAGACATAGTTATTAGTCTCTGGGAACAGAAAAGTGACGCTTTGTTAACATGTAATTACTCATAATATCAATGGACTCAGAGATGTTTGCATCAGTTGGTAATAAGTTTCCTCTATTTTAAGGATGATGCTTATCCGCTAAACAGCCGGCCTGTGGGCCTCTGTTTGATCATAAACAACGTGAATTTCATGGAAAGCCCTATGAGAAAGGGGTCGGACAAAGACGCTGGTATGTTTCAGACACTCTCTCACACCTTCACGGTGCCGGTTGCCGGTTGAAGCTGAATCCTCTCTGCTTTGAATGAAACTCCCCACAGAAAGCCTGGCGCTGGTGTTCAGCTGGCTGGGCTTCAGAGTGCTTATGTGTAAAGACCAAACCAAGGACCAGATGGAAGAAACTCTGGCCGGCTTCGCCTCCCTGACTGATATCCTGCAGCCGCATGGGCAGAGCCTTCAGGAGTGGTCAGGTGGCACGTTTACTGCTCCTCAGCAGCTCCTGGAGCACGGCGACGCCTTCATCTGCTGCGTTCTGAGTCACGGGAGAAAGGGGGTTGTCCTGGGGGTTGACAATGATCCGCTGGAGATCAAACAAATCACAAGAACTTTCACACGGTCTGACCAGTCGTGCCTTACTGGCAAACCCAAAGTGTTCCTGATACAGGCCTGCCAAGGAGGTGAGCTACAGCGGGGGGTGTTGCTGGACAATCTGGAGCCGGACGACTCTGGTTCACAGTCCAACCCAGTGGAAGGAGATGTTCTGGTTGCCATAGCCACAGTTGAAGATTATGTGTCGTTTAGACACCGAACAAATGGCAGCTGGTTTGTCCAATCTGTGTGTCAGCAGCTGAAGGAGCGTTGCCCCAGGTAAGGAAAAAAAAACTTCAAATAAAAAAATAATAATTAAGCATTCATAATATTTACAATTTGTACAGATAATAGTTTTCTTCACTTACAATTTATTTATTTCTAGCAGCCTTTAAATGACAGACTTAAGTAAAAAAAAAAAAATGTTTAGTGTCTTTGCTGACCCACTTGAATTTATTTAGAAGTGATTAACAAATTTTAAACCAGCATCACAGTCATTTGGGATGGGGCGAGTTTACCATGGTGTTACATCAGCCTTGAGTGCAAATGATTGTAATCATACTTTTTGGAATTCTTACATGTAATTGACTTTAGAGAATTAAGACTCTTACTCATCCTTACTTAAAATAAACTCTGAATGTTTAGGGGATTTATACCAAATCCTGACACCCTAACATGGTAATATTTTGTCAATGATAAGTACCATAGATTCCAAAATAGTTGGTATTTTAAACGTTGGGCCTTAAAGACAATAAAATTGTCTTTTTAAACTTAAAGTTTAAATTATTATTGCATTTTGAATAATTACCTATCATTTGTTGATATCTGATTGTCTGATCAGTGCCCTCTGGGGTGAGCTGTTAGTTAATCTAATCCTTAGACGTCTGATGCGTGTTTTTATCCACTGTGAAAAATAATTTTAGGGGTGAGGACATCATTTCCATTCTCCACCACGTGAATAATGACGTTGGGCAGAAAGAGGCATGCAGAGTACCTGGTGAGGCCAAGCAGATGCCTGAAGTGAGGTTCACCTTGAGGAAGAAACTGGTGCTGCTGCCCCATCAGGAGTCCAACTAAGATCTCTACAACTTTGACAAGCACCCTAAACCTTATTTCTCAAGAAGGGGAATGGTTTCTTTAGATAACTTTTGTGTCATTATTTTTTAAAGTTTGTATTGTGTCAACATTGACTTTTACCAAGTATGTTTATAATGTTATAATAATTGTAATTCTCTAAAAAGCAAATGGTATTTTTGTACCTTTATGGAAAGAATATTTATTACTGCTGGAACTCTGGGATATAAAAACGGTTTTGTCAAAAATTTGGTTCTCGGTCCAGTTTTTTGTTTGCTTGTTTGTTTTGTCTGACATCCGGGAAAATGATGCCCCGTCTCGTTCTGCTTCGTGGGTTTTTTTCTCCGGTGTTCGGGTGGTCTCGTCTTCTTCTCTGATTGATGACGCGCTGACGTACCGCCCCAGCGTCGTTACCATGGCAGCGAGAATTCGTTTTCTTTTTTTTTTACTGTTCACGCACGAAAAGACAACAGAAGGTATAACATAAGTCTATGGTCCCGCATAAAAGACCAACAGTGACTTAGCTCTTGTCAAAAGTCCGACTTGTTTTACTGGCGGGAAAAGCCGTCCTAACTTAAGTCACCGTCAGTAATGGACGGTGCCATGTTGGTGGCTGAAGAACCCAAAAGTGCAGCGGAGCTGAGAGCCTCCGACCAAGCTGTCTCATACCTGTCCGGCATTGGTGAGTTTGTGTTTTAAAGTGATTACGTCGTATATTTAATCGCTTCATTTAAGAACAAATACATCAGAGCAGCAAATGCGGAGGGGAAAAACGCTTTTAAAATAACTTCAGGAGTCCGTTGTGTTCTGTAACAGAGCCCTCGGAGCTGCAGAGGTGTGTGTTTCCGGAGTCTCTGGTGATGGTGTCGGAGGACAGCAGAGATTTGGGGACATTCAAAGTGGAAGTGGAGTTTTCCCGTCGCCTCGAGCAGCCTTGCATGCTGCTACACGCTCAAAGCCACGGAGCAGCTGATGGTCACCCCTGTGGGACGACGGTGACAGGTAAAGGCCAGCAGAGGCCCCGGACAGGGAGTTCTCCACTGGTTCCCATTGGCATTTCTCCCTTTTTTGTCACCCCTCTCTTTTGCCACGTTTGACTCTGCAAGCCTTCATAAGTGTTGACCTGGAGGTGCTTGAGGAGGATTGCTTCGAGTATGCAAAGGCTAGTTTATTTATAATTACTTTGCTTCTCTTATAAACTCATAAATGAAAAACCCACCAGCCTGACATACTCACCCAAATGTTTTTTCACCTTTAGCTTGAAGACCACCGTGTGGAAAAGAGGAGCCACATGGTGCAGAGTGATGGGAGGATGCTGATTGATAAAGTCACCACTGTAGGAGAGGTCAGACCACACCTGCTCAGGACAGTAGCGATGAAAATACCAATCCGATGCTACGCTTTGGTCACGATAAGCTCAATGTTTCACTAGAGATTTTCTCTCCTGAAGCCACACCTCGTTTTGTTGTATGTGAATGTATGTACAGGAGGTGACAAAAGAAAGTGCCTCCTATGCCATGTCTGACCTCAGAGGGCTGGTCACTGAAGGCTCCAGCCTGCTGCTGATGCGTCTGCTCGCTCTGAGGAAGGAGGTCCCCGATCGCATGGCCTTTATCTCCTTGGATCAGAGTTTGCAAATCACCCCCACCACTTTTGTGAGTGATCACAGCTGTTTACGTCTCCCTGATCTGTAACCCGACTGCTTCGGATTGTAAACCGCTCGACGTTTTGGCTGGGTGTCAGAGCGAGCTGGGCAGGAAGCAGATGGAAATCGGCGACGAGGTCCTGGAGGTGTTTGGGATACAGAAGATGGTTCACTCTGTGGAGGGGAGCTCCCCTACCTGGCAGTGCTTCTTCCTGCAAGATGGGTGAGCTCTATGACTACAGCTTTAAAGAATCCCCTGATTCCACCCGTTACTAAATACTTTGCTATTTTTCCAGTGTTCTTAACTCCATTCTAACGCTGGCAACAACTTTTGTTATTTGATTATAGAATGGAAATACATTAGAATTTTGTAATTAAAGCTGTTCAGTTGTAATAAGGTGCATGTCAAAGGTGGGTTTTAAGGTTTTCTTTTATTTGTTATGATAGAAACCGCTGTTATTTTGGCTCTGAATAGTCTGTAAGTTGGTATTTTATTTCCTCCTTTTATTGTATATGTAAAGCTGCAAACATGTAGGCTGTTCAAAGGTTAAAAAAAGATTGGTTTTACAGACAGCATTTCTATTGGTTGTAAATCACCTGACATAAACGTACAAACTGAAAGCTACCATCAGGGAGGTAAACAAGGATCAGCACCTGATGAGTCACTGCTGGTGACTGGAGTCATCTCAAGCTTTATAGCGTCAGCCACCGTCTGTAAACTTTATTTCTATTCCTGCCAATGAGCATCACCTCTGCTTTAACAGTGGTGTGGTGGTTTGCCCCGTCACCTCGCACAGTTGTGTTCCCATTTTGAATCCAAGATGGAGGGATTCTGCTTGGAGTTAGTTTGTTCTTCCTGTGTATGCATGAATGCTCTCCGGTCACTCCTGAGTCCTCCCACAGTCCAGAAACACGCATGTTAGGTTAGTTGGTTATTCATATCTGGGTCAAAATGTTTCCATATCACTCAAACTTAATCTGCCCTACAAGTGCGTGCATCACACTGACGTTCGATAAATTACACGAAGCTAAATTCAATTCTTGGGATTTTAATTTGCTGACCGGTTCATTTTTCTCTATTCAGCCACTTGGCCAGCAGGATGCAGGTGGGATCCCCCGTCACCACGAAGCTTCTGCAGCTGCCATCAAAGTCACAGAAAGGTTTTCATTTCTACACGTGTGCACGTAGGAAACAGGCCTTTTCATACTTAGAAAGAGTCACTAACAGGGTTTGTGTGTGAATGTGTGTGGTTTTTCACAAGGTTTTGAAAAAATCCCACTTGTGTGGGAGGAGGACATGCAGATGCACTCTAACTTCCTGGACAGAAAGGTATCCATCCATGCTCTCATATCAGAATGAATTAGCTTATCATTAAGCTTTTATGTAACTAGAATAATATTTAGCTAAGAGCTAAGTGCAAACTATTTTATCTTTCACTAAGCTCATGAATGTGTACTTAAGCCTTTTTCGTGGCAGGCGGAGCTGAAGGCGGACCACACTTCGTACCTGAGACAGCACCCTGAAATTCGAGCCCTCATATCTGACTTCTTGCAGTTCTTGCTGCTGAGGAAACCAAACGATGTTTTCCAGTTTGCCAAAGAGTATTTTATCCCCTTTTCTTCCACCCATCCTCCAGATCAAACCTGATACTCCAGACTCCAGCCCCCGTATAAAGGAAACATGGGGCTTTGTGATCGGTTCAATAACTTAATAGAGTTTAATAAAGTTTGGTGTACCAATGGCATTTGACTGCTAAGCAAAGTGACTCGTGTATAAAGCTTATTCCAACCGTAGGAGTTTCCCTATCGGTTTCCGGGAAAAGGCGGAGTGGCTGTTTTGAAAAAAAAAGTGCATGGTATTTGGAAATAAATAAATAACCCAAATATGTGTCCGTTTAATATTGCTCACCTTAATGTTAGAAAATTAGTAATACTTTTTGAGCAGTTTAAAGAAATTTAAATTGCCCCCATCTTTAAAAAAAAAAAGTTTATTTGAGACGCGACAGGATTCGTCATTTCCGGTGGGATGACGTCATTACGATGAAAGTGAAACAACTTGGAAAACTCGAAGGCAAACGATATTAAAGGTTCAAGCACAGTGTTGTACACCAAGGTGACTGGAACGAGTGACGACGAAAACTTATTTTTTTCTTTGACGCTTTGATCAAATCAAGGAGCGAATCGACAACCGTGAGTCGGAATGTATTTATTTATTAATTTTAGCTATTTCTATGGAATGTATGTCCTCTCTGGAACATTACATAGTTATGTAATGCTGGACGAAGATAGGGCGTATTTGTTTTTTCTCAATCCTAAAAAGTTCGAGTAATAGGTTTTAATGGGAAATTTTGCTTTTTTCGTTATGTTTTTTTTCAGCCTGGTGGAAGAAAGTGGTCCTGTTTGTTTTTAACGAACAGTAGGCTAGTTTTAAAAAATGGGGAGAAATAGGAAAAGGTGTTTTTTCCCTGTACATGAAAAGAAGCAACATAAAAACAAAACACAACAAGTGTGTGAAAAACTTAAATAACTTCGTGTTAAGAGTGTAAACTCTTAAACCTTCCTGTTGGTTGCATTTCACACACCAGTGGGGTTTATGAGAAACTTGATCACAATCAAACCAGTCTATGAGAAAAGACTGAGAAAGCTACTGAACTCGTAATGTTTCCCTGTTAATAACTGTATTCCAGTTATAAATACCAGACACCTTTATCTTGCTTCCTTGTAGACCTATAAACGTTTTCTGTTTCTGTTGTACTAGGTGGTTGTCTCTTTTCCTCTTCCTTCCTGTTTGTCGACTCTGTCCCCGGTGGCGTGGGCTGAGGCTCAGACCTGTGCACGTCCTGACCGGCAGGCGATGGACAGACGGACGCTGTCCCGCATTGACGAGGAGCTGGACTCCTCTGAGGTGGCGGAGCTCTGCTTCTTGTGTAGTGATGTCGTTAACAGGAGGCGCCTGGAGGGGGTGAGAGCCTCTTGTTTAATGTCTTTATAGAATACAATATGTCACAAGAAAAAGTATACACTCTGTATACTATTCTTACATCCACTGATACTTTTTAAAGTCTCTCCCCTTGAGGTTGGGCTGTTTTTTTTTGTCCTCATCCAGATTACGGACGGAAAGACACTCTTCATGAGACTTGAGGAGAAAGGCCTTTTGGAGAACAGCTCGTTCCTCTGTCAGCTGCTCCAGATCATCCATCGAGCTGATCTCCTCAACCAGCTGCAGAATGACTACAGACAGCAAGAGGAAACGGATGCCAACCCCATCCTGTCTGCGTACAGGTAAAGGGATTGAGAAGGATGTTTTAACTGTACATGTAATGGGACGGCCGTCCTGCTTAGCTGCTGTCACTTTGTTTTCCAAAGTTAGTTGATTGTCCTTCTCTCTTTCTCTCTCTGTTGTTCTCGCTGTCAGGGTGATGCTGTATGATATATATAAGGACATGACCGAGGAGAATTTCGAGAAGATTAAGTTTATGCTGAATAGCAAGCTGGGAAGAAGGCAGCTGGAGATGAGCAAAGTGAGAGGGCACCCACACACCTCGTGAGCACTTTGGGGGGGAAAAAATCAACATGACACATCCCAAAATGCATAATACAGCTTTACTTTTTGCTTTTGAGCAACATACTCCCCTAAATCTGCTTTCTCACAGACACATAATGAAGTGATTATACTTGTGACAGTGATTATCTCCATCTGGTATAAATCATAAACCATATTAAACCCTCTGGGGGCTGAATTCAGTCACCTAAATCCAGCTAATAAGTTTGGGCAGTCATGTTTTTGCTACTTTAAGGCAGAAGCCTGCCTCTCTAAGCGGGGAGGTTTTCAATTTCTGTACTCAGTTAAAAAAAAAAAAATCCTTTTCATCTTCTTTCTACTGATTGCAGACCGTTTTGGACGTGTTTGTCGAAATGGAAAAGACGGGATTAATGTCACAAAGAGATGTCACCGAGCTCCACGCGCTGCTGCAAGACCTGGATGTGCAGCTGGCAGGGAGAGTGGAGAGGTACACACAAGGTACAAGGCCACTTCTTTACTGGAGGCGATATGCATTCTTTCTGTAAATAAATAGATGGATAAATAAATATTATGATTAATCATCATTCTTTGCACTTTGCAGCGTTACCTCCGCAAATCCAGCACATTCCATCAGGCTCCTTCAGCATAGATCAACAGGTGTGTGTGCGTGTGTGTGTGTGTGTGTGCGTGTGTGTGTGAGAGAGATCAGGTGATTTGGTGGCAAAGCAGCTGACCGCCATGATGCTTTTCTTCCAACAGAGACCTAACGTCGCTTCTCTTGCACCACTATCCTCTCTGTCCATACAGGATAATCAGTCCATCTACGATCTCCCCGTTTCAGGTACTCTTTCCTTTATCTAACGGATCCATTTTTGTTTGCGCCAATAAAAAAAAAAACCTAATCTTTGGGGGACTCTTTGGTCACAGCTTCAGAATCCCTGCTCCCCTCCTCGGGTGAAGAAAGGAGCATTTGCACTGACGCACTACCCAAAGTTGAGTCGTCCTCCCTTTCTGATGAGGTAACCCCCCCCCCACTGCTGCTCACTCCGGCCTTTGAGCATGATTTGACTTTGGGATTTTGCCCCTCAGGGGGATTACTACTCTTTGAGCCATATGCCCCGAGGCTTGTGTGTGATCATCAACAATGAGGTCTTCCCGGACACCAATCTGAGAAAGCGCCAAGGAACTCAGGAGGACGAGAGTTTGTGCTGTTTAGTTATTTCGTTTTTGGAGGTCGGCGCATTCAGGAGCGATGTTTGACAGCTGATACTGTTTGTCTTTTTTTTTTCTGTGTTACACAGAGGCTCTGCATTCAGTGTTTGAGAGATTAGGCTTTGAGGTGGTGACACACAGAGACCTGACAGCAGAAAGGATTCGCGTTGAAATGGCCAAACTTGGCAAGAGGAATTTTTCAAGCGACGATGCCTTGGTGAGTTCTTTTGTCTCACGTTGACTAAACACCTGCTCCACTAGCTGCCACTGATAAAAGCTGTCAGTTTTCTTGACTTATATTGTAGCTTTGCAGTCCTTTCCCAGTGAGGTTAACGTGAAGGTTATTCTTAGGGATGTCCCGATCCAGCTTTTTTTACTTCCGATCCAATACCGGCCGATCAGAGCATGTATTAAAGTTTAAAGTTATTTAGCCTACTTACTTAGTTGTCAGACTCATGTTGAAAAGGTATTTACTCTTATGACAACTAGCCATCTGAATTAGGTGAGTTTGAATAATACACAATGCTTGGTAAAGAGACACTGACCTGTTTATTCAGGGATAAACACAAAATAGACAAAATGATAAATAACAAATGGAAATGGCATCATTGAACAGTAAAAAGTGCAAATATATTGTAAACTGTATTAAAAAGGCAAAACACACAAACAACCTGAATAGAAAATAGTCTATTAAACTCAGCATCAGTAATGGAATATTTTATTATTATGGATCAGACTTTTTAAAAACTGGATCGGCATTTTCTCCTGCCGGCCAAAATGCTTTATTTTTGCAAATATCTGCGGCCGATCCGATCCAAATATCGGACCGTGACAAGCCTAGTTCGGATGTTTTCCATACAAAGGCAGGTTTAGTTCCGGTGATGGTTGGGATTGTAAAACACAAGCTCAGCTGAGACTCGCATTACGACACACGGCGGCCTCTGTTCTCTCTGAAAGGTCATCGCCGTGCTGTCCCACGGAGACATGGGCTGCATCTTCGGCAGTGATGAGAAGAAGGTGCCGCTGCAGGACCTGACGGGCCCCTTTAAAACCGGCAGAGCCATCACTCTGGCTAGGAAGCCCAAACTCTTCTTCATCCAAGCGTGCCAGGGCAGCGAGTACCAGAAAGGATCCGTGCTGCGCCACCCGGCCAACAAGCTGGACAGCGAGGAAAACC